TCTAAACCTATCAATACAACCGCTGATGTTCACAACCCATTCACCAGATAATTGTGAACAGAGGGATAAAAAAGTAAATTATGAGATACCATTCCATGTGCATTAAAGACAAGGTCTTGCAAGTTTAGGTGAAGCACCCCACCAAGTAATGGCAGAAATTGCTAGAACCACTAATTACTAGTACTTGGCAAGTCTTTCTACCGATGGTTATGGAAAGTGAATTACAAGTACCTGTGTGAGTATAATGTTGTCTGAAATAGTAAACAAATTGTTAAAGAGAAGAGAGGTATATTGGTACTTGTCTTAAAGCATCCTCACTTACATTCTGTACTATAAAGATTATCCTGTGCCTTTAACTTTCCTCTCTCCTATTGCACAGCAGGTAACAGGACATACCAGAAAGTAGCTAAGCAACAAGGTAGAGTGAGAGATGGCTTCTATATTTACTGGAATATTATTATTGCATTGTCATTCCAAGGAAATTTGACTTGCCTTATCATAATATACTCCAGAAAAAGTTTTATGCAAAAACTGAATGACTTGGTTGCTTTTTATTCAAAAATTGAAACTATGTTCTCAGAAATACAGTTGCACTTTTACCAGGCCTACTTAATAGGTGGGATTATTATGCATTGTTGGCACTACAAGTAACTGTTATATATAATTTTAATATGTCAAATGATGCCTTCTTGTAGGTCATTGTGGTTATTACTATGGATCTAGATAATTAAAATAGAATGAAAAACCATTATAATCCAGAAGGGCAGCTATGGGTCTCTCTGAGTCTATGAAATACGGGAATTGAAAATGTTTTGTGCATCATCTGTGACCAATGAAAAGACCTTTCCATAATTTTAGCTGTAAGTTAACCAAAAGCAAAACAAAACAAAAAACAAATCAGAACATCTAGAAGATAACAGCTGTTAAAAGACCCAAAAAGTCTAAACAAACTTAATTCAAAGCTGAAGATAGATACATACAAGGGCACTAAAGACAATATAAAATATATTAAAGATCTACTCTTCTATATAAATGATCTTCTTAGTCATGGAATAAAAAAAAAGATAAAGAGGTCATTAAATATATGTTTACACTTACTATAAATTCATGTGCCTCTTCCTTTTTAAAAGTTAATGATATAAATATTATCCTAATTAATGAAGGCTAACTGAATATGTTAATACTTTGATAAAAAAAAAACAAAAACTACCAAACCAGCAGATAGTAAATTACAAAATAAAAGTATCAATAATATCTTTATGTTTTAGAAAAGGTTTTAACTTATTTTGTCTATTACTGATAAGTGATGATTATTATTTTTATCTGCATGTAATTATTGTCCTCCTAAAGATAATTTTCTCATAGCTTCAAGAAACTACATTCTTTACCTCCCATAATTCAAAATTTAAATATTACACTTTGCTCATAGTTGCTTATTTGTTTGGGGGACATAAGCATCATAAAACTTATAATATGATTAAGCTTATTATAAATATGCCTTGTAGCCCTAGCTGGTTTCGCTCAGTGGATAGAGTGTTGGCCTGTGGACTACAGGGTCCCTGGTTTGATTCTGGTCAAGGGCGCATGCCAGGTTGTAGGGTTGATCCCCAGAGTGGGTATGCAGGAGGCAGCCAATTCTCTCTCATCATTGATGTTTCTATCTCTCTCACCTTCTCCCGTCCTGGCTGAATTCAATAAAAATATATTTAAATAAATAAATATGTATTGTAAAATACAAATTAAATTTTCTAAATTATATAAAAAGAATTAAATATTTAATTTTAAAACTTACATTTTAAAATATAACTATTGGTTTCTTGAAAACACATAATTCACAGCCCAAACAATAAGCTTTTACATTCACCTATGGTAAAAAATTACATTTGAATAATGTCCATTATTTTGGCATTAAATACTACTTAGCCACTTTTTTTTTTTTCGGTTGTCATTTCTGTGGAAGCGTATGGAATAATACTAGCACAAACTACATTATGGGCAGCTCACACAAGCACTGGGCAATGGAGGACACGAGAGCATGTGGCCAACACAAAGAGAGGTAGTCAGCAGCCAAAAATTAAATTATATTCTAAACAAGGGAGAGACATTATTGTACTTAAAGCAGGAAACATTTTAATCTGATTTACATTTTCAAACCATCCATTTGGCCATTGTGAAGTTAGTGAATTACTGTGGGGTATGGTGAAGGGAAATTAGTAGACTTGTAATTTAATATGAGAGATGACCAGAGAAATACAAAGGGGAGTGAAAAAAATGTGAATATTTTCTAGAGTAAGAGCCCGTCAGACCTCCTGGTAGATTTAATGGGAACTGTGGAGTGAAAGAATAAGAATTCATAATGACACCGAGGCTTTTAGTTCTAATAAACTCGTGTAAGTTCACACTTTCTTCTTGCCAAAATGAGGAAGATTAGAAGAGCTGGTTTGGGGGGAAGAAAAGGAGTGTTATTTCTGACCTAATAATTGAGAGAAGCCTAGTGGATGCTCAAGCTCGGAGCAATGCCAATGGCAGTGTTCCCACCACAGGGATGAGCATCCTTTGGAACCTGCTTAAAGCCTGAGGATGGAGGAGGCTTCCTGGGAGACTGTAGAGAGTGAATGAAGCTGTGAGCTGAGCCCAGGGCCATGTACCATCAGCCAGAAGCACGGCAGAGAGGATCAGCCTCTGAAGGCCCTGCTGGACGGCCTGGGAGTCAGCAGGGAGACAGGACCCTGCAAATAATGGGTCAGGAGAGGAAAGCAGGGGTGGCTGACCGCAGTTTTTGTGCTGACTGTGGCCGAAAGGTGAAGGAAATGAGATCTGACAGGCAAGTGGCCACGGTGGCAGGCACAGAAGTGGCCAATGACTGACAAGACCAGTTTCAGAGCCGAGTAAGAGTTTTGTCACTGCTAAACGCGTAATACCAGAGCCTTCTCTCCTAACGTGGCAGGTAACTTACTGCTTCGGTTGTAGTCGTGGTTATCAGAGCAACTGTATTTCCAAAGGCTAAAAATGGATTAATCTAAATTCCAGTTTTTCTTGCTGACCAAGAGTTATGTTTCTTTCTTTCTCTTCTCCACATTGTCCTTTAACATGAGCTTTTTTCCTTCACTTAATGGTTGGCTTGGCCAACCTTTCCCATTCTGTCTGTAAAACACACGAGCTGTGCTCACTGCTCAGCGCTCTCAGAGGACAGCCAACTAGACCAGCACAGGCTCCTCCCGCCAGCCAAGGTCCAGGACCACAAGGAGTCCAAGGAGTCTGTTCCCAAATCTCCTGTAAGCCACACATGCTTGAGATTGTGAGCAATGTAAGATTAGTCAAGGTGGTGAAATACGATTGCAATGAGGAAAATTGCTGTTAGTAAAAATTAAAGTTACGCCATGGAAAGGTAGGAAGATCATCTGCTGAGTGACTAAAGTTCCTGCTTCGGATTAAAGAACCCACAAAATCTAAACTGTAGATCAGGCATCACTAAACTGTAGATCAGGCAGAAATCTAAAATTTGCTGGGGGCGGCTGCCATCATCATCATCAGTTCTCACAGACGTAGAATTGGTGGGAAGTGAGTGTTTGTGCAAGAAATATGATGTGGAATTCGCACCAATATTTACTTAAAGAAAAGGCCATGGCCTTATGTCAAAAGACTGGCATGGGAATGCAAATACACTGATAAGTCAAAATAGCATACAGAGGTGTGAATGCATCCATCTTTCTGGTTTCCCTTACTAACAGAACTCTTTAATTCACTAACCTACTGGTTCTGACCCTGGCAGTTAAGGTCATGTCTGCCGTGCTCTGAAGTTCAGGTACCATGGACAATATCCTTGCTATATGGAAAAATCAAACAGCTAGTGTTTTGAAAGTAGATTACACATAGTCATCCAGAGCAGAGGAAACTTTGTAAATGAAAACAAAATACCACAGGTAAATGTGTGTAAGGTATTACAGTAGGTTTATATCCTATTCCGAGACACTAGTCCTCATTGAGCAATTAATAATGTTTGCCATGTGTTTTTGTACAAATCTCACATTTCTTGAAGATTGATGACATAAACTTGGAATTATATGAACAAATGCAAGAAAGTAATATTACTTACCTAAACCATAATCAAAATGATATATTCAAGATCATCTTCAAAAATTGATCACTGATATTTTAATGTGCCACAGAACTATATGATAGAATGTATATTTATAGATTCTCCACAGAAAGTTTTTTTCCTCAAAACTCTAATCATAAGATTTTTTTTCTAAATTTCAAAATTTTATATAAATATAAATATGCAGATTCATAAAATATTTTAATTATTGTTTTATTGAATTCAAAGAGAAAGGAAGAAGGAGAGAGAGAGATAGCAACATCAATGATGAGAGAGAATTATTGATCAGCTGCCTCCTGCACACCCCCTACCAACGATCTATCCTTAACCTGGGCATGAGCCCTTGACCTGATTCTAAACCAGAACCCTTAAGTCCACAGTCCGATGCTCTATTCACTGAGCCAAACCGGCTAGGGCATAAAATAACGTCATTTTAAATAAATGCAAAGTAATAAGTATTGTCTTTAAATCAATGTGATTATGGCCCACAAAACTATAGTCTTTAAAAATAAATAAAACAAAAGATTTGTTAATGATAAAAAAATATAGAGAGACAAACTTTTAAGTAAAATTAACAAATCAATTACAAGTTGCTGAGATCCTATCTTTATAGTAAATCCCACAAACTTCTCTACGAACAGCTTGTGCTTCAGTTCAAGCCAGAACAGCAACCTCTACAACACATACCCATAGCAGAGCACTTAAGTTGGTACCACCACCAAACGACTAATCCAGAAAGTCTTAAGATTTTTGCAACAGCAGATTCTTTCATTATTATGATACGTATTCTGGAAATGGGCTTTACAGCAAACGGCTTCAACCATAACTGGCTGTAAGAGCACCACAATCGAAACAGGACAATAAAGTCTCAAAGGCATTAATAAAACATCGAGAATCCTACCAGCTCACTGGAAGATCATGAAGTCTAAATATGGTACTCAGCAGGTAGTCGAATTTGGCTGGAGAATCATTCCCTCTAGGTAAACACCGGCTTATATATGGTTGCATATCTGTGGGAAATTCTGAATCCTAGAGAAAAAATAAAGCAAGAGTTAAGTGTAAAATAGCCATATCACAGAACACATTAATACTGACTTATTTAATATTAAATGACAACATAAACATTACTAATATATTCCCTCAGGATTTACCTTCAAGTCCTTCATTTCCTCTTTTAGCTTTGAGAAATTGTGCAAAAAACAGAGAGATAAATTTTTAAAGACACATCTATTTGCATAAGTCTAAACTGAATGCTACATTGTAAAAATTATTTTAAAACATCCCTGTATTGAATTCCAAGAAGCACAATATAGTGTTGTCTTATATTATCCAATCATCCTTTTTCAAGAAGCTTCAGTTACCAATAGTAATGTGAGCAAAATCTGCAATTATTCTTATATTCTATTTATACTCTATAAGTGGTAAACTAAAAACAATTTCATTGAGTAACAAAATAATACCATTTGCTAATTGACAAATTATGATTTTCTTCTTTTAAATCTGAGGACATAGGGTCAACTTAAAGGCACTTACTGGAGGTAAAATTATTTTAAGTCTGTCACAATTATTTTAAGTCTCTCATTCATTAGAATCCATGTGTGGTATGTACAGGTCGACTCCCTCTCCATAAAGCAAACTCTAACTGGAGATCAAAGATAATTTCTCCTCAGTGCTAAGAAGGCACACTATAAAAAGGCACTTAATTAACACTTAATGAAGGATAAGTTAATTGCACATCTCTACAGGAAGAGAAAATAATCCTCTTATATTTAAGGCTTTAAAACTGCCTTTAGAGAGGGAGGCATATCATTCCTTTGTGCATTTATTTATTGAAAAAACATTTAAAAGTGGTACTTTATTGAACATTACTCTAGGCATTGGGGATCCATCGATGAACCAAGCAGATAAAAACACTTGCCCTCATAGAGATTGCATTAGATCCTTCAATATATGCTCAGAGCTAGAAAAGTTTATAAGTATTTTTCCTATTAACATATAATACACTAGAGGCCCAGTGCATGAAAATTCATTCACTGGAGGTGGGGTCCCTCAGCTCAACCTGCCCCTCTCTCACAGACCAGAAGCCCTCAGGGGCGGGAGGTGACCAGGTGATCAGGGGAAGGCGATGCCCCATCACACCTCTGCTGCTGCCACTGCCAGCAGCACAAGCCTCGGGCAGCCCTGGGGAGGGGTGGGGACTGAGGGAGGGGGCCTCTAGAGGCAGGCCTGCCGAGCAGCTGGGCCCGGGGCCCAGCCTTGTTGTGTTCCTGCCACCCTGAGGGGGTTGAGGGAGCTGAGCACTATCTAGTTTATTATCTTGTGGCTGTGGGCACTGCCACCTTTGAGGGTGTGGCAGTCAATTAGCATATCCCCTTCTAATTGGCTGTGGGCACCACCATCTTTGTGGGTGTGGCAGTTAATTAGCATATTCACTCTTTATTGGCTCTGGGTGCTGCCATCTTTTGTGATGGCAGGACGGTCAATTAGCAAATTCCCTCTTTATTAGATAGAGTATTCATATAGAAATTTCATGCATTTCATAACACTACACAAAAGAAAATTAAAAGCAACCTTGTTCTTGGCACCCAGATGTAATTACTAATACACTTTGGTTTAATAATTTATCTGCCTCTTTTGTAAATTTTTAAAGAATTGAGATCATACTCTATGATCCACCCTCCAGTTTTCATTTTGCATTGTATCACTGCATTTTCACATTATTACTCTATTTGTATATTAGTATGAGAATAGTATAGACAAAATAATAAATAAAAAAATCATATCCTTAAGATAAGAATTCTATAGAAAATTTGTTGCTAGTTCATATATAAAACTGTATTCATTTATGTTTCTTAAATTAACTAATTAGGTTAAACTATTTTTGTATTTCTTGTCTTTTGTACTTCATTTTTCTGAATTGCATATGCCTTGTGCCCATTTTTCTATGTTGTGATGATGCTTCATTTAATAATGTAGCTTGGGTTGTAAATGGAAGTAGGCTACATAATTATGTTGGAAAATATAGAAAGGAGGATCAGAATCCAGTCTTATATAATTTTTGACTCCATGGAAATATCCAGAAGCATAAACTTACTATCTATAGCAATTTCTACAAGCACTATTAAACTAATCATTATATAAAACTGATACAATTATACATTTAATAAAGTCTAATCAACTAGTTTTAATAAAACCTAATAACTACAACCTATTTAACGTCAGAGATAAAAATATAGAAAAATATAATGATAACTCAACAATTTAAAAGATTATTTACAAGATCAGCAAAGGCCTACTAACAGTAATCCTATCTAAACACAGATGTACTTACAAAAGCAAAGCATAAGACCTCTTATATAATCACCCAGCCTATATACTGAGACATTCCAGGAGACAGAGCCAAGGAAGCAGGCAGGATCAGTGAGATCAATATGTTACAAATAGCCAAAATCGGTTTGGCTCAATGGATAGAGCGTCGGCCTGCGGACTGAAAGATCCCGGGTTCGATTCTGGTCAAGGGCATGTACCAGTAGGGGGTGTGCAAGAATCAGCTGATCAATGATTCTCTCTCATTGATGTTTCTGACTATCTCTCTATCCCTCTCTCTTCCTCTCTGTAAAAAATCAATAAAAATATATTTTAAAAAATGTTACAAATAAAGAAGGAAATGCATAGTAAATAGAGGAAGAAAAATAAATGGTTAACAATTCTTTCAAACTACATAATCATTATCATTTTTGTGTTTTTTTTGTATTGACAAGGCACAATTGGAGCACAAAGCTAAGCTCTCAATTAATATGCTGTGATAGGTCAGTGTTTTACAACTCTGACCAATTAAGTAATACAATTAAGAGGCACTGACATTTATTTTTAGAAAAAGAGAGAAAATCTGAACAGTGGCCACCATTGGATCTAATAAATTATCTGACCAAAGGGAAGAGAATTACTTTTTATATTATACCTCCCCTTACCTCTTAATAGTTTGCCAAACACATGCATTATTTTACTTAAGTTTTCAAATAAAGTAATGTATGTAAGGAAATTAGCCCTGTACGTATTAAATGCTGGCCATTTGCACCTAGTGTATTTAAACCATGGCTTAACTATACACATTACAGGTAAAGGCCTAGATTGAAATGACAATCTCCGGTAGGTGTCCCAGAGATTATTGTGACCTCTGCTACATTCCTTAGTCTTCCTTGCCTTTAAACTGAGCTGTAAAGGGATTCGGTTCTAAAAGGAGGATAAGAGTAGAAATGATGTAAGCCACTTCCAGTCCCAACTTTAAACATCCCAACTCTGCTCACCCTTGCTATTCCTCCACCTCAGTGACTGTAAAGACCTGTGTCCTGACGGCCCAGCTACCGAGTGGCTGCCCACATTCCTGAGCCACTGCATCGGGGAGAGCCGCACAGAGGAGTCACGCCACCTCCAGGTGAAGAAGGAACTTTTGCAAAAGCACTTGGGATCTGGGGGGTTTATTCTTGCAGCGGCTATAATGCTGATTATACTGACCCATACGGTTGTAAATATAATGATCAATCGATGGTCTTTTATATTACTTTTCAAAAGTACAGGGCTAAAAGATGCATGTTTGAAGATAGACACTAAATTAAATAACTACATTAAGACAAATTTTAATGTGCTTGCTCTCTTCTGGTCTTAAGTCCCCCTGTGAAGAGGAAATTACCAGAAATAGAGGAGTTTTGTCCTGACTCCTGTGCCCTCATTATTTCACTCATCGCTTCGGGTGGTCCATTGCCTGCTGATGAACTTCATGCATCACTGCCTGGGAATGACTGGCAGCTGACATTATCAGCAAGACTTGATTGAGCTAACTGATATTCACAGTCTAAGTATGAAAATGAGTGAGTCAGGGCAAGTCTTCCTTCCTTACTTATGTATTTGTTCCATTTCTTGACCTTTACACTTGTTTGCATTACTGGGACCTTCGTTGCTTTGAGAAGAATTGCACTTGAAAAATGCTGTTTTCACATGTATTTAAAAATTTTGATGTAATACGCCTAAAGTAGCTATTCTTTAAACTTTCTACTTTTATATGATTATATCAAGCAAAGTAGTTTTAATGCATTCTAAAGCTATCACTGAGTCATTCTTTGACCGATTTCAAAGTAGGCTTAAGCATAAAGACTAACAAAATAAAATGTATACTCAATACACTATCACTTGGAAATCCTCTAGTTCATTATATATTCAAAGTGTATTTCTAGACTAACTTGTTTACTTGTTCCATTAACCAATAGAGCAGACATAAAAAAAATGTGCTTGACTTAAAAACAGGGACTGAAGAGTAGGCTTATAAGTTCTCTTAGTAGATTGTTAATATAAGTCTTTGTCTCCTGTGCAAACCCATGTTGCTGGCTTCCGTGTGGTGTAAGTCTACATTTTTAAAAAATACATTTGTGTTGATTTCAGAGAGGAAGAGAGAGGGAGAGAGGGACAGAGTTGAAAAAGAATGAATAATTAATCGGCTGTCTCCTGCATTCCCTACACTGGGGATCAAGCCCACAACCATGGCATCCTGACCAGGAATTGAACCATAACCTCCTGGTTCATAGATCAACACTCAACTACTGAGCCACACCAGCCAGGCTAAGTCTAGATTTTTGATGACTGAAGTCTCCAGAAGTCTCAATATGAATTCTTCAGTAAGAGCTGTAAAAACTAGTAAATCTATTTGAGAAGAAAAGGTAGACTATTGCATCTTATCTTACTCTCAAATTAATTACAGATGGGTTAGAGTTCCATTTTTTTAAAAATAATATCATAAAAGATCTAGAAAGCAAATATAAGTCAATATTTATATGACCTTGAAATATTGAAGCCATTTCTAAGTAAATTATTAAATATTTTTTAAGCTTACAAAATGGAATAAAAGCAAAAACTGCCCAGAAAATGTTCATGTTAAAGTAATAATATAATTTGCATATAAAGATATTTTTAAAATAAATCATAAAAATTAATTCTGTAGGAGAAAAGACACTGAGATTATGGATCTACAAGTAACT